CTTTATTAACTCACTCCAATAGCACACATTCCCCGCTCTCTCTGTCTTTCGCGCGCTGCGAGACCATCAATTAGGATTGGTCTGACAAAAATGGAGACATTAAATTGCGGTATTTGGTAAATTATTAACTTTAAACTGTTAATAAAAGTGCCCCGCGAGAGGCTTCGTTATCGCCTCTGCCATTGATTTAGTGCGATTTATTGTTGCTTAATCTTAACACACAGCGAAGCATCGCCATAGGAACCTGATGAATTGCTACATCGGTAATGAGAGGTCGATCGTCTTAAATACTGCATTTGTTTGTGAGAAACACCCTTACGAAAAAGATTAATCCAATTAAAGAACATTTAAAGCGTTTCTTTTGATCTTACGATATCATTATGTGAAAAACTTATTGCTTTTTAAATACTGGATTATCGCACGTCTTCCAATCAGTGTTTGACGATTTCAAACTTTTATAGCAACATATGGGTTACGTACATTCAAACTGAATTCAATTTTGGCGTCAACACTTTGCCCTACCCACTGACATGCATTAGATTATGCTTCCCCAAAAAATCAATCTGGTTTAAAAGCAGGTACACTTCATCTAACAATGATCAAATTCCCAAAGCTTTATGGCAAGATACAACTTTAATGTCTTTTGATGGGTATTATTTGAATATCAAAAAAAACACTAATAACAACAGATAACAGTTTATAACAATAACAACGAAAACACAAGTAACAAAAAGGCACAAAGAGTGAAACAAACAAACGAGAACAAGGTAACAGAACAGTAACAATAACAAAGATAACAACAGAAAATAAAGACAATGTAGAGAATAATAATAGAATGATAGAAGCACTTACGAATGGTGGTAGCGGTAGGCAAGAGACTATCTTGAGATATTAAAAAAAAAAACTTTTGGGTGTTTCATTCCCACCAGCCAGTAATGCTGGTGGGCGGGCAGTCCCTCCGGACTATGCCGGAAGGTAGGGCGGAAGGCCCTCTTCAGCCTGCTTTCAGGAATCGTGGGAATGGGTGGGTGGTGGTTCGGGTGAGTAAGATGAGACGGACGAAATGAAGACAGAAGAGAGTGAAAGATTATATGTGGAATATTACTGCCTCAGCATTTGCCTAAGTGATCCAAGGAAACCACAGAAAAACTTGGACCAAGGCAGACGACGGACCCGGAATCGAACCGGCGTCCTCCCGAATGCTAAGCAATGGTCTAGACCTCTAGGCCATGCCGCTCGGTTCTTGAGATATGAAATTTGGGAGTATTTATAGGATAGGGTTGTTAGTAGATTTGATAGAATGTTCTAGAAGGAAAAGTAGTGAGAGAGAGGGTGAAGACACTAGTTTCTAGGAATACACAGAATTAGATAGTACAGAATTCAAGAGAAAGCAATTAAGGGTAAAACCAGATATTAGTATAGGAGTGCATGCAGGTATGGTTGAAGTTGGATTTCCAGGTAAAAGTGATTGAAAGAACAATAGAGTTTAGATTGAAAGGAAATATTACTTGAAATGAAATATTACTTGAAATGAAATGAAATAAAATTAGAAAAAATATTTACAGATAGAAAAAACCAAAAAGAGTTATTTCGCCACACAACAAATAGTTTTCATCCATATACCTAAACTAGATACTAGACGATTCCTCCATAGTTTTTATGTATTGCTAACTGCTCCTTCCTCAATATTGATTCATTGATTGAAAATACGACCGAACGAAGTAAAATGTGGCAACGATAGGAAACATTTGTGGTTATAAGTAGTCGTAGGAACGAAATCAATAATAATGACCCAAGTCATAAAGCATTTCGCCTTATTGGTTCTGGAAAGGAAGGTCTGCAGGTGCCATTCAGATCACTAAATATAACCCGGGGCCACGAACCGATAATGTAAAATTCTTAAATGGTCGGCTTCTTTGTGCCACCCGATCCGCACATCGATTTCCACATGAAGCGAGACGGATGGGCGCCAAATTTCCATTTGAAAGGAGACAGAAACACACTAAGTCGCGCGGAAATCACCAACGATTCGAAGAAGGTGTAAGAATGACGTACAGCCACGGAGGTTTCAGGAAAAGAAACGGAAAATAAACTGTGAAGTATAATATAAGAATTACAGTGTGTTCGACAAAGAGAGGGAGATACATTGGTGTGGTTGCGGTTGTAAAACGTGAACTGGACCAAGACGTTGCAAACGGAAAGAAAGAGAAGAAGAGAGAAAACGATGGCACACGTGTTTCGTTCCACACTGTCTCATTAACATACTAAGACTTGGCTTTCTGCTTTTTGTGAACCGACCGACTGACTCGTTTTTCTCCAGTGATTCAAACGCGTATGCATCGGGTGGCAGATATTTCAACTTTTACCTATAGAAAACGTTATAAGCCAATGACAACGTATTAGGGTAGCAAATCCGAAAGATTTGGCCTTAAATCTTTCTCCTGATGTACAAAAAATCTAAAGTGGTCAACTTCTATCGATGGCCAAATTTCAATTGATCCTGTAATTTCGAATCTTCTCCATATCAACTTTCGTGGTTGAAGTTTCGCTCAAATCAAACAGGTTTTCAGGATTTGTCACGTTAACAGTACACCCTCTGGGTTATTTTGTATTTTTGTTTTTTTCTTGTAGTGGGATCTCAGATTAGAATAGTAATTCTGACATAATGAAGTCGCAAACCACGTCGAAAATGATATCTCTGGGCTAATTTTTCCATAATCTATCTCAACCATTGAATCTTTAATCGTATATTGCATTTAATCTTTAGAATTTCTAAAGATTACGTGCTAAGGATTCCCACATCCTTCCTTATTTATATGAATTATAAAAAATAACCTAATGAACGCGTAGATGTAAGAAATAAATTCTTTTAGAAGTAGAACATTTTCATAACTGATTACGGTTTAACACCAGCGGATCTAAATGTGTTACAAAGTCTTTGCAAATGAAGGATCCGAGATGGAGAATAATTGTTTCCAAGATGACGCGGAAGGGTAGACTCTGCTTTGTATGCGGAAAGGCAAAGTGAACTGAGTGAGGACAATCAAATTACATAAATCTACGTCCCAGAAACAGATCCACTTTGAATCCTTCTTCATACTCCATTCGGATGACGTATATAAAGCTTAGAATTTAAAATACTTTCAACTCAAAAGTTGCTTCTAAAATTATGAGTCGTCATCTGAATCCATGAGTACTTTCTATGCTGAAATGTTTGAGGAAAGCCAGGCAGAAATTAAAGAATTACAGGATACTCTTCCATCCGTATAATACAAAAATGAATGGAGTTAAGTCAAAACTTTAAGCTATAAACGTACATGTTCAATTTACTAGCTTCTGAAGTCAATTCAATTCAGGTTTCCGTGCATAAGGCAAGCGCCAGCATGACCCAGTTTAAGGGATGATGTTTATGAAAGAAGTTTAAAAAATAATACATGGAAAGGGACGGGCTCGAGTAGCATGTAGGTGTAATAATTAATTAATAATTTTGCCGTCTACTTGACAACTTTTAATTAAATGCAAAGCGATCGCCACAAAGGAAAAATTCCATTGCATTTCCCGATTACCGATATTGATCAAATCGGTACAAGTTTGCCAGGTGTTTTTTTTTTACAATTACTGCTAATGGATTCGAAGATTTCAGTGAAGAGATAAATCTCTCTTTAATCACCTGCTTCTCTCAGCTTAATGTTTTCTGTTTTTTTTTTTATATAGATTAAGTAAATTGAGCTCAAAACAGGAGCTATTAGAAAGCAATATTGACAGCAGTTTCATCTTCGAATTTATTTCAAAACTTTGGGTAATTCATCATTCTGGCACAGGCTGATTTGAACAGATACCATTCAGTTTTTATTTTTAGATTAATTAGGTATACTTAAAATATCTTCGCAAAGTTGCCGAGAACGTTGCGTTACTTTAACTAATACCTATTGATACCATTTTACTTAGATTAATTAGTTTCCAAATCGTGTAAATTAGGACGTTTGCGTTACGTTACAGCCATCGATGCAGAATCCTAACCTAGCTTTCACAAACAATCGATTGACAGCTGTCAATTGCAAACGCAGTAATGTATTACCAACTTAATAATAAAAATTACATTTAAGGGTTAGGATTGTTGAAATAAATTAGGTTGGTCACAACAACTATTGATATGGCGTACCTTATAACTGTTATCTATTTTAGAGAAGCATCAAACTGCATATACCTACCACAGATTTTATTTTTTTTAACGTGTCAGTTTCAATATGATTCAAAATTTTTTAACTGTGAGCCATGGTCGTCACTATTGTACGAAGAAGTCACTGATACAAAGGTGGTTGGATTTAATTTTTTTTTTTGTTACTTTTATCCACCGAGAGAGCGGTAATAGAATAAGTCAGTTTTTAAAAGTCTCTGTCTGTCGGACAAGTGTGACATAATCGCATGCGAGAAGATTAACAGGGGATTTGCCCAAAATTCTTTTGATGAGTTTAATGGCGCGTCACGTATAGCATAGCGTTCAAAGGGCACCGACTCCGATCGGAGGAGGCTTTGGACAGATGTGATTGATATCACGGAATTTCGGTCAGTCGACATACAATCACGAAAATATTTACAGATATGTATTCCAAATGGTATACAATTAATTATTTGTGTATATACCGAATTAAAATTCAATATTCATAGTACCATAGTCTCCAAAACATTCAATTTACTATAGCAGCATTATCCACAAATTTCGTACGAAGCAATTGTTCATGTATTACCAATTCTACAATCTGGAACGTATATTATATGACATACAAACTTAGTTCATCCTATCTTCAGTAGTTGTGAAGCTCATAATAGATAGACTGCTTCTAATTGGGGATGTAGGTAATTGTAATTAGTTCTCATTTCTCTAATATTAACTAAACAAACAGTTGACACCAGTGGTCTCCAAAATATGCTCACATATCACTCGCAAATAATGGTCTAAATTCAGAAGACTTAATGTTGTCTATCATAAAGAGACTTACCACCAAGGATGCCATCTATGGTGTAGTCCTTTTTTCCTTCTGGATCGTCTTTCCGACTACCACCTCTCAATAGTCGACTTATCGATGAAACACTTGGGGGATCACCGACTCCCTCCTGTAAAAGCAAAAAGAAAAAGTGTTTTCATTCTGGGATTACCAAAACTGTTGTTATTGTGGTTCAGTTTTTCAGAACGGGACCACATTATCCTTACAAAGTGTTTGGAAAGTATCGTATGTTAGCCTAACAACTACAGTTTACCCCTTTTTGCGAACAGAGGGCATTTTTTCATAATAAAAACTGTAGCATGTCTCCAGTGCCAAAAATGTTATTAAGAAGAACCTATACCCATTGGTGTCCCAAAGATCGATGAGTCAATCAGATAAGTTTTAAAGTGCTACAGCTTCTTCAGATGGAAGAAATTATTGTGAAAAATAATAAAAGGTCACAGTTTTAGTGTTATTTATATTTATAAAAAGGATTATCCATTTGGTCATTCATACCATCATGTATAATATTGATTTTTCTGTATTTATTTAAAAAGATACGTTGGGATATTATTAACAATAAATTCTGAACCTACATTTAGTGTGTTCCAAATTTTAAAATTGTTTATTGAATTGTCAATTCCTATCGTCTAAAAGCTTTTATTCAAAATCGCATGCCGACATGATCCGCTTGGATGGAAATAGTAAAGTCAATTCACGATTGCGTGGGACGATAAATACATAATCCTGTGTATACCTAGTAAATACATCCCCTACACGCGTGTACCATAACATACGTGTATGTATGTGAGAAATTGACAGAGGGTGTATATTGAATGAAGCGGGGATTTGATAGAAAAACGATAATCCTGCACACCGGCGGCCTGCGGCACAGATTTCAATTATCCATTCGAATTCGATTGAAATTTATATGATGCAATAGACGTGATTGCGTTTTCGGGAAACAGAAAATGCTTTTTTGAGATTTACCTAATTTTTGACGATACGTTTCCTCATAACGCGTTGGCATCTTTTTATAATTGAAACCACAAAATGTAATCAGAAAGGTCATAACTATGGGACCCTTTTTCTGCACTTCCAACATGTTATAAAAGGGGCAGTGATTAAAGGGACTTTCACAATTGTAGTAAGTTCAATGTACAGTATCCCTGACAATTGTGTCCCTACTGCAACTCCTACCCTATAATATTTGGATAGATATTATCATTTCGCCTTGGCCTGAATTTAACGAAACTGAGAGAATTATAACAAATTTTGAGATAAGTGCGGGGAATCACCTTCTTATTGTACAGATAATGTGCCAAAATGAATACAGTAAAAGTTCCTTATTCACAGTTTCCTTATTCGAAAAGGATTCGGTGTCATTTATTAAAGAGATTGACCGTAATGGACCGCTCGTGCCCAGCGTGATTTTTTCCAAAAACATGAGTTTCTATTCTAAACATTGTGATTTAACGCTGCGAGATAAATATCTAATTTTTTGTATGGTAACAGACAAAGGTTCACACTAACTCGGTACGTTTTTGGTTTTCAATAATATGGTCATTAAAAGCTTTTACAAGTGTTTAAAGTTGATGCTTCTTGTAGGACACGTATTTTCAATAGAAATTAAAAAAATGCCCTTCGACAAGCTTTAGAACAAAGCTTTACCCATCTTACTACAAAATTTCAAACTTCAATAGAAGTTTATGAATGCACGTGTGCAATTGAATCAATTAGAACATGTTTATTATTCCACTTGGAATTGGCTAAAAATTTTGATTCAGTTGAAGCAATTGAGTGTATTTTAAGCAAATGGTTCTAATTAAAACTATCATAATTCTTATTTAAAAAAAGACTAAGCTTTTAATGGTGACCGTAATGTTATTGGGTTTACGACCAAAAATATAAGAACAGTCGTCGCTTATGGGCCGTATAACATTCTCAAAAATACCATTAATACTTTAGAAACATAATAATGCCGAATAAAATTTTAACAGCTTCCGTTTCATTCTTTTCGGACATGCTCAAAGTACAAATGGACGTTCTAAAAATAGTGCGTGTAGCGGTCACGGTTCGATCCGTGCTTTACGAACATCATTATTTACGGAATAAGCTCCTTCACGTTCTGGACTTTATTAAAACAACATTATGCGAATTAGTTATTTCCAATACATAATTAACACGTGCCAAAGTGTGCAAACGTCACAGTCAGGTAGTATTTTTAGACGAAACACACGGAATCAGTCCTCAAACGCATGCTGTAAAGTGTAAAGGTATGCCATGTCCGGCTCGATGGACCATCGCTGATACGAAATCTAATCGTACCTTGGTGGTGCTACCACAACAAGCGCGAGCTGCGAGAGATACAAGATCGACAGCGCGCTAATGTTTTCTCGTTCTTGATGCGGCGCATTTCAAAGAGACCGCGTGCCACAGGACACACGAGGTAATAACAACGGCGGTAACGCGGTGGTGCGCTGACACGGCGAGCGTGCCGCCAAACCGTACCGCCCTCAAATTACCGGCTGGACATCTGTCGATAGCATCGACTGTGCGCTACGACAATGGCAACGACGGCCGCTCGCCTAATGTGCCCTCACGGCTCAAATGAGCCTTACGTGGTGGCGTAGGTAGATTGAAGTGTACGCCCTCCTTTCTTCGACTCAGTTTTTTTTTACCGAAGGCCGACGCGCGGGATATGCACGTGTACTAGAGCAAAATGCAAATTGCCTGATGCCTATGGATCGAAGGAACATTCAGACACACCACTACAACGATTGAATAACGTCTATACCGATAGAACATGCCTTCACGTAAAACTTTATTATTGTTGTCACTGACTACGTAAGAGTACGACATACTTCGCCGTTGACCACGATCTCTTGCAGGACCTTTTTCTATAAACAGCGTACTTCCTTTATCTGGAACTTTTATTCTAAGACTTTCTCCTCCAGACCTTTGGATTTGACCGTGGTCATTAAGAGATGCTAATGATAATAGTGTGCTATATAAGATTTCTGAACAGATGTTGAATTTCTCTGATTAATAATATCGCGGTTAAACCCAAAATCCTGGAGTAGAAGCTGGAACACTATCAGCTGTAAATGCTTATAGTTTCTTGTACAAATAATAACCACAAAATTTGGAATTCGTTTAGATACAAAGGTGTAAAGATAGAGATAGTATGTAGAATTCAATGGGCTTGAGTGGTAAACAATAAATCTTTTTAATAAATTATCATCATATCTTATAGCTCTCGTTGATAATGATATTGAAACATATCTTGCAACCATCCAGAGATATTGCTCTAAACATTGGTCAGCTGCTTTTGAGTTACATTGCATCAAAATCAATCACTTGCTTTTGATTTATATTAGGTACATCAAAATCAATCAGTTGGTTTCGAGTTATATTGCATCAAAATCAAAATCAATCGGTTGCTTTTGAGTTATATTGCATCAAAATCAAAATCAATCAGTTGCTTTTGAGTTATATTGCATCAAAATCAAAATCAATCAGTTGCTTTTGAGTTTCTTTAAAAATGACTGACAGCACTTAATACGGTATATTGACAATTGTTTCAACGTAAAATGATATCCAACAATTATCAGAAAATCCCATTTAGTTTTGGATGATGCCTCACAATCAGAATAATTGCCAGTTACATTTGGAATGAGCTGAATTATCTCTTTTCACCATTCTGCTAAATAGGTAATTACCCATGATAATTGGATGGCAAATATTAAGTAAAAGTAGTTCAACAAAGAAACGAAGAAAGCGGATCACCTAATATACTTTTCGTAAGTATATAATTTTCAGTGTATGTGAGGGTAAATACCTTAATTAGTTTTTCTCGTATTTCCCAAGAGAATATACCGGGATTTTGTCGTTTCATTTGTTCAATGAGTGCCTCAACTTCTGGAGTAGCAACTCGAGGTTTGGAACCTCCAATCACTCCCGGTCTGATGCTTCCAGTTTCTTGATACCGGTTCAATATCTTCGAGACGCATCCATGCGACACCCTCAGCTGTCGCGATATCACACAAGGACGTACACCGGCTGCAGCCATTTCGACAATTTTCAAACGAATATGATTCGGTAACGGACGACCATTTATAAACACACCACCCAATTGATTTACACGACCTTGTCCTGAAACAATAGAAAAATAACGTAAAATGATTATCCTGAAAGACTCTTCCATTTGCGAGTAGTTTGGATTTAGTTAGATAAAGTGTTGCAAGACCATTTGAGCTTTCACAACCCATCGTCATCGACATCGTCATTGTCATAGTCTTAGTCAAACTCATAGTCATAATCAATGTAATAGTCGTGGTCATCGTCATGGTTATCGTCATAGTCATTTAGTCATCAGTAAAAACTTTTGGGTGTTTCATTCCCACCAGCCACTAATACTAGTGAGCGGGCAGTCCTTCTGGACTACACCGGAAGGTAGGGCAGAAGACCCTCTTCAGCCTCCTTTCAGGAATCGTGAGAACGGGTGGGTGGTGGTTCGGCTGAGAAAGAAGAGACGGACGAAATGAAGATAGAAGACATTGAAAGATTATCTGTGGAATATTACTACCCCAGCATTTACCTAAGTGATGCAAGGAAACCAAAGAAAAACTTGGACCAATGCAGATGGACCCGGAGCCGAACCGGCGTCCTCCCGATTGCTAAACAATGGTCTAAACCTGTAGACCATGCCGCTCGGTCAGTCCTCAGTCTTGAGACTGGTTGGACATGCACCTCCACTCTTTCCAATCGTGGGCTAATCTTATCATTTCCTTAAAACTAGAACATCCCACATCCTTAACTATTTCTGAACAGTAACCCAATCTAGATCTATTCGTTTGACTGTTTTTAACTTCTGTTTCTGTTTCTAATATGTCTCTAACTAGCCCTTCATGCCTAAGAAGGTGTCCTACCAACCTACCTCGCCTATTTCTTATTGACTTCCATACCCACTGTTCTCCCACTCTTTCGAATTCCTCCTAATTTCTGATCGTCTCTATCCTCAGTATACTAATCATTCGCTTGTTCATTTCGAAAGCTTATAACACTAATGAAAAGAAATCTCCTTTCAAGTTTTAAGTAACTCAGTCAATATAAACCATCACTAATAAATAAGTATTTCTCTTACTGTGCTTTCTACTTAAAATTTAAGAAAGCACATAGGCATACTTATAGAACGCTTTCAAAAGATTTTTACGAATGTGCCTTTTCGTTTTTAAATCAGTTCTTAAACGTTCATAAATAATTTAATACCTTTTTATATTGACTGTGTTTGGGGTAGATTTTTTCGAGCAGTTTAAAATGTGACCTCTAGCACGTGGATATTATGTATTCGGGAAACATTTTTATTAAAATCGCTTCAACTTTATAATCTCTCCTAATACATACTTCAGCACCTTTCTGAGACTTAAAGGGTCGATATTTTAAATACAATTTGCCTTGAATATAAAACGACCTCAGAATACAAGGATTTACATAATTCATCAGAAATAATAACTCTTTCGAGACGATACACAGTGATCTTGTAAAAAGTTGTTGTTTTTCCAGTAAGGTATTGCAGTTAGAAACATATTAGAAGCAAAGTTGGATAAAATATCTACTGTTACAGATGTTCTAATTTTAAGAAAATGCGTCTCGGCTTAGAAAAGCTAAAATGTAACGAAGCGCGTGATAGGCTAGGTAAAAGAACAGACGAAATATTAAAGGCGGTTAGAGAAACGAATGACGGGGACATAGAGACAGAATGGAACTGCATTAAAACGTGCCTAAAGTCAGCAGCTACAGATTTATTAGTATGCTTAGATTTGCAGATGATATAGCAGTATTAGCATCTAGCAAGGAGGACCTAGAGATAGCTTTAAATAACATGGAAGCGGTACTGACAGATCAATACTGTATGAAAATAAATAAAAGTAAAACTAAAATACTGGTATGCAAGGGTAGAAAAAGTAGGGAAAGAGCGAATATAAAGATAGGAGACGAAAAATTAGAAGAAGGTGCTGATTTTAGATACCTAGGAAGTCAGATAAGTCAGGATGGAAGGAGTAGTAGGGATATAAAGCAGATGATAGAGCAGGGTCGTGTCGCCTTTAACAAAAAGAAGTCACTTCTATGCTCGCGAACGGTAAATTTAGAAATTCGAAAAAGGTTGTTAAAGGTGTATGTTTGGAACACGGCGTTGTACGGGTGCGAAACATGGACAGTGGGCGCGGTGGAAACGAAAAGGTTAGAAGCGTTCGAAATGTGGTGTTATAGGCGGATGATGAGGATATCGTGGGTAGAAAAGGTAAGAAATGAAGAGGTATTAGAAAGAATAGGAGAACAGAGGACTCTATGGAAGTCAATAAAAAATAGACGAGATAGGTTGGTAGGACACCTTCTCAGGCATGAAGGTCTAGTCAGAGACATATTAGAGGCAGAAACAGGAGTTAGGATAGGTAGAGGTAGACCTAGATCAGATTAATGTTCGCAAATAGTTAAGGATGTGGGCTGTTCTAGTTTTAGGGAAATGCGAAGTTTAGCTCAGGATAGGAAAGAGTGGAGGTACGTGTCCAACCAGTCTTAGGATTGACGACCTTATGATGATGATGCGAAGATTAGCTCAGAATAGACAAGAGTAGAAGTGCGTGTCCAACCAGTTCTAGAATTGATAGTCCTATATATGTAACCATATATTCGACGCCTACGGCCTACAATAGTTAGTAACAACTGCAGTGGAATTTATTAAATGTGTCCCTGTAATAGTTTTTACAATAGGTATCCAAACGATCCTGCAATTTCGTGTACAAGCCATAAGACAAATTTTACAGCTTTACAGCTTCAGTGTGACGCCATTATCGGCAATTAACTATAATAAACTGTTTGTTTGGTATTTGTCCAACTTTATTACCACAACGTACACCACAAACCACTTGCTGCATGCTACCTACTACATCATACAATAAACATGCGTCGACTAATAAAAGAGGAGAGACAGTGTTGGCGGGTGGTAAAATTATATTTGTTGATATAATAAAACCTTCTAATGTTAAACACAACAATAACAAATTTACACAGAGCCGTTAGGCGCTATTTCGACAATTACATCAAACGGCGGCATCGTGCAATCAATAAGCGAGAAGCTCTTTCCTAAAATTGTTGTAAGATTTTATGAGCAATTGTATTGTTAAATTATTGAAAGATTTCGTTTTTGCGTTATTGGCGACATGGTCTGTGCCAACCATCACAAATTATTAGTGTTCCAAAAGTTACTAACAAATCACGTAGTTCTTTGGCATGTTCGAGACCTTGGTCAAAATCCAATATATAAGACTCAGCGTAGAAGGTTAAAACCAAGACCAGTATATTTTCAACAAAACTGCGACCAAGACCAAACACTAGCTAATGTCCCAATAATCCCAATAAGGAAATATCAAAGTCTCTGTGGTCTTAGTTTTGGTTTCATCATAACTGTAGTGAACAGGTTCAAATCTTCTCTCTAGTTATGCGAACATTTACACCATAAGTAGCTTGTCAGATGTAACTCACTCAAAAATACTTGCTTTCTCAAATTTTATCTCTATCTTGGCTCTACTACTTAAGGTTTTATTCAAATATTAGCTCAGGAGAGTATCAAAGTTATAATACCACTGCCTGGCTCTTGCTGATTCCTGTGAGTATCTGACATCTCAAAAGCTTGGCGATGTATTCAAGCATGATTTCGACCTTCCTGGTAGCAGCAAGTGTGTGTAAGATCAAAGAACATTAGGTTCCAAGTCACAAGTTTATCAAAACCACCAGATGAGGACTATAACTTTGAACCTACTGGTCTTCACACCAAACTAAACCGAAGTTGTTCAGCGTAAGCAAATGGATCAAAATCAAATACTTAAGGGTATGCTTGACACTATTAGAAATAGCATTGTAAGCAGTAAGACGATATACTTGCACACTAGGTCATCTGCGGTCGCCCTTGGAAGCAGCCACATGCTGAGGCACAGTATAGAGTATACTCATCCAGTCCATGCAGTGGCTATTGTAGCAGTTCGTTCTCGTCACTTAAATCTGGTGGAATCATTTATTTAACTTAAGCCCTTAAAGGTCCAGATTAATTGATTACACAAGTTCTGGTTATTGCTCAGGTCATTTCAAGAACTTGAAAACTTCGCAAATCTTATCATATTTAATCTTAACTATCAACTGTGATTTGAGCTTGCCGATTGATATTTGAGCAGTTTCTTTAATTCGGATATTGGATCCATGTGTAGTAACGACGATGTCTTTGTAATTCGCGTTGCCCACATCGTCTTCCAAGTCGAAATTTATAAAAGGGTTGAAGACCGTAGGGATCACATGTTCCTAGAAGTAACTTTCCGTGCGCTTACCTCTGGTTCCTTTTTTGTTTAGATTATTCTCGAGGAGGAAAAATCTTCAAAAGACCTCTGAAGGGAGGTAGAGTCGGATTTTACCGACTAAAACCCCTCCTCGAGCGGGGAGGTAAACCCTGAGGGTTTCTTACCTCGGGGAACAACTTAGTGATCGATATAAGCCACTCGTAGCCGCTTCCTGTGCTGTTCACGGGTGGCATAGTCTGCAAGAGGTCTTACGTAATATTAATCAACTTCGATTTTGTAGGTTTACCTATAGTGTGCTGATGGGAACTAGTAAACTCGAAATTGCTATTCATTAATGCCTAGTAGATTCAGTTTATCAAATAGGTAGTATTAGTAGATAGTAGTATCGTTGTAGGGTAAGAGATAAACTATATCTAAGTATGTTCTTTTTGGCATATGATGTAAGATGAGCCAATATGGGATGCTAAAGGTTCTTAAGTGCCTAATTTACAGTTTACAGTATCCATCTTGTAAAGGTAATAAATTTTTGATTTTGCCGTGTATCGAGGGTAACCCATGGCGATAAATTAAGAACGAGAACACAAAAATGATAAAACCGTATGTGGCCAGTTTACTAAATTACATAATTAATAACTCGTGACGCGGCGATCCATCAAGGAGTCGAAGCCTGAGGCGACCTTGGCAATCTTTCAAATTATGGTAGTTGGCATTCGTTATGGGCTTCCAAATTACTCGACCAACCCTTACAAATACGATTAAATTATCATTACCGCTCCTTTTGAACATATCTTCGGGTGTGCTTACTGTCAATGAAACGGAACGTATTTGCAATTTCCTCTTTTTACCATTCACAAATTCTCATCACAATTATACTTCACCGCAGCGTTCGGATCTTTTGGTCATCAATTTGAAGGATTTTATATTGACTCCCGGCGCTTTGCTAATAATACAAAGGGATACCATCTTCATGGTCTCTCCGTTTGTAGAACTGGAAGATATTTGTCAATCTTTTGTACGACCCCTTTAAAAATGACAAAGAAAATTGAAAACTTCTTACACGCGAAACTCAGATGTAAGTAGATTTTCAACTCCTGGATAAATTTACTGCACCGAAAGAAATATAAAATGCGGAGAGGAATTTTTTAATTAATCCTCTACTTAAAAGGACAATAAAATTCTAGAACAGTCGAACAATTATTATTAATTGAATTTGTGTACCTAGGCGTTCATTCCGATAATGCACAAGCATGCGATTAAATTTTCATTCATACTTTTATATATCGAAAATTGATTATGCACCTAATGCAAGAGTAGATGTACGTATGAATATTAAACAATTTAATTAATGACCTGAGTAGATCGTAGCAATTAATTTAAATAAATAGCAGCCGATTTATTACGTCTTATCCGGAGTATTAACTTTTGGAATCTGTGTCACACATTCCTTGACGTTTAACGGCTCAGCGCATGCACTCTGATAAGGCGTGAATGAAGTTAATTAAATTTTACTATCCACCCTCTATTGTAAAATGAAAATTGATTCTTACTCGTTCAGAACGTTCTCAACGTTACCTATCGGTCATAATTTGATATTTTAGAGTCCGATCCATACACAAAAGTACCAAAAACTGTTTTAGATGAACTAACTTGAAACGATGGAAAAGCGTAAGTAGATATCAAAGTACCTTGGTTCTTGCTTAGTCTAGAGATTCTTTTTCTGTTTGTTTTTGTAAAGTTTATCATACCTTGAAAAGGGTATCCCCCAAAAATGGGTCTTATGTCCATTTCTTGTGAATTGGCCACGTTCGAAAGCCTCTCAGCCACTGATCCGACGAACATAAATAGCGAACATTGCAATGTTTTCGTTTTGTGTTTGATTACAAAACGTTAAAGAAGTTTGTCATGATCGCGCCCAGCCAAAAAAGTTAAAATCTGGGTAAATTTTGCGTCGCGCGGCGATACGTCAACACAATCCTTTAGGTTGGTAACGTACACCATGACAACATCATGTTAACTGAATTATGGAGCATTACAATTGCAATAGTTCTAGAACAACACAAAAAAATGTATACATGTATGTATACATTTTACGAACGCTATAAACCGGGGGCCTTACTCCATTGGTCGTCAAGATTCATATTTATTCTATTGTATTAACGGAAGTAAGTTTTGATGGGACTTTTTAGCACCTGGCTACCTCACTTGGCTACCAGTCGAGTCGATATTTTCTTCTGTTTGGCAGCCACACTTCCTCGAGTACGACAAATAATGCATGTTACATGGGAGGGACTTTACACAATAAACATTAACGCGAGATGCCTAGTGGTATCGATGGGAGGTACCACCGGTACTGCCTTTCAGAAACCTAGAATTATCTCATCAACTCAGCCTTTACTAGGGGTTAGTGCATGATATCGATATTTGCTCAAGAGCTGGGCCTAAATCGATATTTTTCAATAATCAACATCCAAACTCAAAAAATCTTTTCGACACCAAAAGAAAAAACGGGTTCAAAAATTAATCATCATCACAAGGTCGTCAGTCCCAAGATCGATTGGACAAGCACCTCCATTCATTCCTAACCTGCACTAATCTTGAAATTTCCCTACAACTAGAACACTGTTGTTTTTTGCTTCCAGTATGTCTCTAACTAAGCCTTCTTGCCTGAGAAGGTGTCCACACATCTCGCCTATTTCCTATTGACTTCCTCAGATAATTTACAATATATCTGTTTCATGGTATAGTTTTGTACTTAACCCCGGTTTTTCAGGTCTAATTGTTCAGAAAGTCTTGAGTCAACTGAAGCAGTGAGAAGATGTTTTTGGTACATATCTACAGAAGTGACTTCTGTTCTAGAATTGAATATCATCTGATATTTTTAGATAATCAATGTCTAAATGTTACTGGACGACACTCCGGACTCAGCCTGCTGGAGATCGTTGAAAACCAGGTGAAGAAATGATTTAAAAACTGGTAGATGGTAAATTCACTTCGTGGTCAATTCTGTAGGTACTTAATCTGGGATAAGAGACTGACGCATTGTATGGTATAATTTTGATGCTGGGCCAATTGAAGATTAAACTCAATTTCTTAGTTTGATGCAGTAAATGCTTTGATAGTTGATGATCTTATTTGTCATAGAAGTGGATCTTGGTAGACATTTTTGGATGATCGATTAACAAAACTCAATCTTTTGGAAATCTTTGAAAATTAATTGAAGAAGTTGTTCAAAGATTCGCAACATAGGTAAATATAATGTGATTTACTAACTACAATCCTATACCTATTGAGGAAACTGGATTTCGTGATTCTAACCGCGTCTTATTAATGAAATTATTAAATCAACTTCCAAAACAAGCATTTTTTGCAGAACTGCATTGACAAGATTCAAAATTCAAAAGTAATAAGTATATTGATCAATACCCCACTAAAGAAAAGGCCTCAAACAACTTATTGCCAGAAATTCTTCGCTTCCGATCTTTTCTATCAATGATTAAGATTACTATTCTCATCTTACAGGCACAATCATGCATTTCCTCCTTTATTTAAAGCTGACTACATCACTTTTTCTTTGGGTCTTCATCCTCCACATCACTATTGCAAATTCGTTTCTTTACTTTTTTTGCTCTTTTTTCATATAAATACCTACTGTGGGCTCATAAAAATTAGTTTCTCTTTATCTTCTCAATAGGTTATAAAATGCGACCATAAAATTTCTTCAGCGTTTCATAATAATGCACGTGGTATCACATCTTAATTACGCCAAGACAAATAAAAGGAACGGAAAATTGCAACGGTTATTAAATTTTATTCTTAAATAAAAACAAAAAAGGAACCAATTGATAGGCGACAAGGGAAAGCATTGTCTTTGGTATCCTTTATCAGTTGACCGGCGCTGCTATATTAAAAACAGTGCACATTGTTTTCGTGTTAAGCGGGTGATAGGCGAGAGACGTGTTCTTATACGCGTGTATCTTTTACGGCACGGTAGGCCAAAGAAAAGGCGAACAATTTAGATGGAAAGGTAGCAAGCAGCGACAGCGTCAACTATGCCTACATATACGTATAATACTTACACAAAAACTGAACTGACGGTCAGACCGTTGCTAATCTAATATGGTTACTTTATGCTGCTTTTGTGTGTAAAATAAAACTTGAATCGACTCTTTGTAGACCACCTGGTAGAGCACTGCCAAGCGCTCCCTGATGCTCAGGCTCTTCATGAAAGAAATACCTAACAACACACAACACAGAAATCCTGGGAACATATCGCGAATCCGTAGACAAGCAAATAGCAATACTATTTGCATATCTATTTAATAAAAAATAAATACTTTACCCTCTCAAATAAAGATCCATTGTCCATTTTGTAGGTACCTGATAAAAGATCAATTTTCCAAATAGATTAAATTTTGGATAAGTATCAACTCAGGTGGGCGCTGCGGAAAATAAAAGGTTAGAAGCGTTCCAAATATGGTGTTACAGGCGAATGATGAGGATATCGTGGATAGAGAAGGTTAGAAATGAANGAATAACCATGTACCTACTTTTATAAAATGAAAATAATTGATAAATAAATTAATTAAAAAGGCAACATTAGGCATGAATCCATCTAAATATTATCAGCATGCGAATTTGGATTAGTTAACCTATAACCTCGTCTTCTTTAGACCACTATTTTAAATGTATTTTCTGCTATGTTATTTCTTATGACAGTTTCAACCCATCTGTTGAATTTTGATAACGAGTGACGGAGGAAGAAGAGGGGTGGGTTTCCCTAAAACTGGAACATCCCACATCCTTTCGGGAAATGCAAAGAATGGTTCAAGGTAGAAGACGAGGAGATCTTTGTCCAGCCAGCCTTCTTTGGACGCCTAAGATAAAATGACATTTTATCTATTTTCATATACTCCAAGCTCTAAGTGGTGGTAACATTATCTGTTCATCATCATGATCATTATCTGCTCTTTCTAATCCTAAGCCAATCTATGCATTTCCATAAAATTGGAACATCTCACATCCTTAACTATTTCATAATCATCATAAGGACGACTAAGATAAGATGACATTTTATCTATTTGCATATCCTCCAAGCCCTAAGTGGTGGTAACATTATCAGTTCATCATCATCATACTCTTTCTAATCCTAAGTCAATCTGCATTTCCATAAAACTTTAACATCCCACATCCCTAACAGTAATCTAATCAAGGTCTACCTCTAACTCTTTTTTTGCCTCTAATATGTCTCTGAGTAGACCTTCATGCCTGAGAAGGTGTCCTACCAAGCTATCTCGTCTATTTCTTATCGACGTCCACAGGATAATCTATTCTCCTATTCTTTCTAATACCTCTTCATTTCTAACCTAACAAATTTAAATGCAGATTATTGTCAATAAGTTGCTACATTTACAAATGAACCTATTATTCGTTTCGAGTAGGTAGTTCTACGAAATTTCGACGTTGTAGGTCCAAGATTTAGAAACTAAAGTAAACATTTTGCTGTTCCATATAGGTACTATAAGTATGAAGCATTCCATCAACGCTTTTATGCGTTACATGCACACGTATTCCGCTAGCGGGTAAAGAGCTGTGATCGATTGAGATTGATAATGTTCGCCTCGAAGACCCACTAAAGCCACACATACAGGTACAGTTCATTAGTAAACAATCCGTGGCCTCAAGTGAGAATGGCTTGCTTGTATCGTGGGGTCCACCTGTGTTCTCGCGCTCTTGCTATTATATATTATAACCGTCATTGTCCGATGTGAATGAAGACCAAATAAGGTCTTTCAAGGTTGTCGGATCTGCCCAGTGCCCACCGATATCCCGAAGGAAAAATGTCAATCCCTAGGGTACCAGGGAAAGATACACCCACATTTGTTCCACAACATGTTATATAGCACCATCTCATCGTATAAAAGAGTCCAAATTACAGTCGGGAAATGTTGTTGAGTTGAACGTAAACACGTAATTATAACACCTGCTGGTGTCTATGTGGTGAATAATTTATCAAGTAATTAGCAGTATATTATATATCGTTATCCACAAATACATAAGTACTGCAACCTGTACTATTTGACAAGACCTTACCTAGTTAACAAACTGAATCTACTAATACCTATACCTATCACTAATACTGCGTTGCAGTATACATTTGTTATAGTAAGTAGATACCTTCATACAGTCAGGTTTCTAGCAGAGAAACATTGTTACTGTTGCCGAAAATGTTTTGCAAAGTTCCTAATATAAAGGCTTCTTCTTCAGTACATCCTACTTGTCGCCGGTTTCCATTGTAAGCGATAAAGTTCTGAAAGCTTTGCTTAATAAAGTACTTGTATTCTCCTTTTCACTATATACTGATGGCAATTTTAGTTGCTTCAAGAAACAAGACGTTTACGTACATTGCCCAAAAGTTTCTTCTCATTGCAATAAGGTGAAGTATTAGACAATAAAAAATTTCTCAAAGTTTCTCCATTGCAAATCAAGCTTCAGGCCATTATCAAATCTATGAAACTCACCGTCAGTTTTTGATGTTACTCAATCGCAAAACTCATCTAATGGTTCCAATATAATGCAGTTCAAGAATTCCGTATTGAATAATTAATAATTTCATATATCATATATTCTAATGAAGATAACCATCTTTATACCCTTATAGAAGTATACCTATATATGTATATCCTAGCAAAATCCATACTTGTTCAGAAATGATAGAAACGTTTTGATGAAAGCCGTAGGGAATCGCGATACCACTCGAGTGTAGAAGTTCTCAAAGGACTAATACGTCTACAGAAAAGTGATTTGTAAACACCCTCTAGAGATCGGTGACTATTTACAGAGTAGCAGCAGATTCATCATAGTGATGTTTTCTTTCATATGTTTTTGAAGTTTCACTTGGGACAATAAAGCTGAAGGGGATTACGTTTGGTATTGACAATAAGAAAACGTTTTTAAAATTATTAAAGTCTAAGAATATTGACATGTATAT